GTGGTATGTATAGATCAGTAGCCACAGTGGTCTCAGTAGTCAGAACTAGTTGCCACCTGTATCAGGGTATCCTGCTTCTCTATCTCCGGCTTTGGAAGTAGAGACATGTTGATGCCCCTTGGCTGTGTTCCTCTTGTGAACCCCTCAGTTGTATCCTGAAACTTCTGCTCTGGGTGCTGCTTCTTCTGCTCTGCCTCTGTTTGCTTGGGATCCTTGAACAGGAGGTGCAGGTCCCAAACTGGGGGGTGGGAAGAAGATGGGGAACTTCTGACTCACTTCACAGGAGCCTAAAAATGGGGCATTTTTCTTAATATTGTAAAGTGTTGTGAGGGATGCGCAGAAGAGTTTTATAGCTGGTGGGTGTGGGTTGGAGGGGCTTTATCTTTAGTAGTACAGGAAGGTTTATCAACAGGAGGGCTGAGGCATTTGTCATGAGGAAGGGGTTGGTTTGGAAGTGCTTGTCACTGGAGAAGTTGAAGAAGGCTTTTGCAGCTGGGAAGGGAGGGTCAGTTTGAAGGCACCTGTCACTAGAAGAAGGTTTCAACAGGAGGGGATATTCAGTTGGGCTGTGCTTTTCACTAGAGGATATTCGCTTGACATACTTCCATTTTTCTGATTTTCCCCTCCCCCTCAAGTGACCTTCCAGCCTCCTCCCACCACCCACTGTGATATCTCTGTATCACGATCCTCCCTGTTTTCAGAGATAAACTTGGGGGTTTAGCTGGTTGTTATGGAGGTGAAAAATAGTTGTGTGCTTTTGATGTGCTCCAAATCCTGGTCCCCTGGGATTGGATTCATGACACCACAGTAAGACTGGCATGCCAGAAGACCTGGGCCGTGGAACATCACCATTGCCCAGGGGCCCGTGAAGGTTCTGTTACTCCCACTGCTGCTGCTAGGGAAGCTCTGCTGGCTTTCTGAGCTTGTTCCCTCCCAAGAATTCCCACTTTTACTTTCCTCCCCATCTATAACTGCACGAGGCTTGATGTCAGATCTAGGTCTGTGGAAAAGGCTAGGGAACCCCTCAGTTGTATCCTGAAACTCCTGCTCTGGGTGCTGCTTCTTCTGCTCTGCTGCAGGTGAAGTGTTTTATGGATTTGTGACCTTGCTTCATTCCTAATGTTCCTGCTTTTACCTTCCCTGAGTCATATGACTGGGGGAGGGGACTTTGAGGAGCATGGCCCATGCAAAGTGCCCCTCATGTCAGGATTAGCTCTGTGGAGAGGAATAAAGAGACCCCCAGTTGGCTGGATCTGATGTGGCTTCTGTGGCTGTAGCTACTTGCAGCTAGGGACTCCTGGCTGTTGGGCTTCTTCCATACCCCAAGAGTGCCTGCATTTGCCTACCCTGAGCCCACATTAACACACGGCTGTAATCTAAAGGTACAAGTTTTAGTACATTTCACAATATTTTGAGGGTTAAGGGCCAGATCCTCCGCCCACTGAAGTTATTTTTAACAATGCTTTTTAAAATATTATTTGTATTGAAGTTTTTCATTAGCAATAAAATGTTATTTTGTCTAATTGTAAAATATCTGGATATATCAACCGTAGGAGAGAGAGGAAAATTAACAGTTATCACATTGCCACATTCTCTCTTGTATTCTTTTCATTTGCTTTTTCTCCCCAAGTCTAATTCTTACCTCTGAACTCATTTAATTTTTAAAAAAGGGTGCGGGAAGGAAGAAAGACAGCAAAAAAATCCTTATTTAGTAATGCCCGCCTGAAACTCCTTCCCCTGTAGGAGTGAGATTGAATGGGACAAATTTCTTTGTGACATGTCATCATCAAGATATTGACACACCTTGTTGTCCTAGTCACATAGTATGTTTTCATAACACAACTTTCATGAGAAACTACTGACCTTCTGCTCCACTGAGTATTGTGTTCTTTCATACAAATGAATGTGGATGGTTGTGATAGGTCTGTAACAACTAAATCAAATGCTGGCTCTGAATCCAAACTGCAAATATTTATCATCTGAACATTCCCACGCCTTGGTGATTTGAAATCCAAATCAAAGCCTTGCTAGATTTTAGAATGTTAGCATGCAGTGTTCAGATTTGGTTCATTAGTTTGCAGGCATCACAGGGGCTCTAATTTAAAATAGTGAGATTTACTTCTAAAGCAGGAATTGATACTTTGTAAATGAGATTGTATATCTGTGCCAAATTTGAAATGCTCACTTATTGAGTACAGAATGATTTTTCTGAAAATTGACAAGTAATACTGTTAATTTCCTTATGAGTTTTTATAATCTTTCAGTGTGACCCTTTCTGACATTTTTTTTGCTGAGTCAAATCTTTTTTCTGATCCCTCTAGGAGTTAAATTTCTAATATTTGAGCTTTGATAATTAGCTCACTTGTAGACTGGAAAATGCTGCTTTAAATTTGCTAATCTGAAGCTTTTTAACATCTTAGTCATAAACATCTCTTTATATGTGAGAATTTGCCACCAAATTGGCTTATCACCCAAAATTTTAGTTGACAAAATGACTTCCAAATATTCAGATAATGAGTGGTCTATACTCTATCTATAGGATGTTTAGGGTCTATAATATTCCTGATATTCAGCTCGTGTAAATCAAAGTGAATGGAGCTATGCCAGTTTGTACCAGCTGAGGATCTGAGCCTTAGTATCTGTTGCTTATGCAGGGACGGCAGGATCCAAAGAGCTCATACTGTCTAATAGATACTACCGAGTGTAAATAGGGTCTGGAGTTAGGCTATGGAGGCATTGATTTGGGTCCATGCCTGTCATTAGCATTATCACAAGGTGAGGTTGAGGTTTTTCTGGCACCTCAGAACTGGAGAGCTATAACATGAATAATTGATTAGATACCATACACATTAATCTATCATAAACCATTGGGTATTTTCGTGTGTATATAATATGTATGTATGTTTGTGGGGGTGGGTGCCAGTGATTGAACCATACTATATAGAGAGAGATACACCTAGCCTCTCCTGTATGGTTCAGTCACTGGCACCGCCCACACGTACACTCAAGCCAAAACCCAGAAACCTAATAAATGCCACGCAAAGTCAACAGCTGGAGATGTCAGCAGGGCTCTGTAGATACTGAAGGTGGCACCCCGTGCTGCTGCCTTCCCTAGACAGCTCCCTGGGAGGGGGCCCCAGTGTCCAACATGCTTGACATCAATTAAAATGGAAAGGGCTCTAGGACTGCTTTATAGCGTTTCCTAGAGAGGGACATACATACCCTCTGACTAAGACTCCCGGCATCCTGCTGCTCTAGCACCATTGCTGCTGTTCTCTGCCCCCGCGGGAGAGCTGCTCCTGGCAGTGGGAAGGCTACTGCCTCACTTGGTTGGGAGTAGACATGGTGTGGGAATCTTCTGTGGTACTGGGCATCAGGAGGAATTTCTCTGGCTGCTCCATCACTGCTGCTGACTGCCTCCCAAGGAGATTTGGGGAGTTTCATAGGCCACTCCCGAGGGAGGTTCTGTCCCATGTGCTCAGGGGTTGGCCATTCTGCTTCCTCATAGTTCTGTCTCTTTTTCCCTTCCCTCCACGCCCGCCCATGTGAAGGGGCAGATAAGGTCTTTAGACAAGACCCCTGGCCTTGCTGCTTCACTGCATTCCTTAATCAGGCAAGTTACTGCACTTGCTGACTAACCTGAGGCACTCCCTTCCCTCATTTGCATGTGTTGAGCCCACTGTCTTCTCAGTGTTTATCTTTATTGATTATTAATTCTGCTAAATAATAAAAAAATTAAAAACTGTGATTCTGGAAGGGTTCATTTTCAATGAATTTTACTGGCCTGGTTGATGTAGAATGTAGATCCTGAATATGGCAGGAGAAGCATTCATGTTATTCTGTGATGGCAGTGACTTTGGTAGTGTAGGGTAGTGTAGTAGTTTGTCATAGTCTGGCTCAAAAGTCCACTGATGTTTCAGGCAATGCATCATATTTCAGGCTGGAGCAATCAATCTTACATTTCCATTTCTCTAAGTCCTTGAATTACGTGCCTACTATTGAAGCTTTCTCTTATTTTAGTGGTCCATGACAGCCATGATGTGTTAGTTTTTCTATGTAGGTTCTGATATGGGCACCAATCACCATGGTGTCTGAATATTTATCACAGTATTTGAGTCACAGTCAATGGTATCTACTATTTTATACCATGTCTACCATGAACTGATGGTTTTGGCAAACAAAGCCAACCTCCAGATGAGGAGGAAAAAGGAGCACAGCTGCTCTGAAATAGAATTTTAAATTATAAATATTTGTTTTGTCACCAAGCCTGGGACATGTATTTCTTTAGAAATATTTAGTAATTAGATTTTTTTTTTATGGACAGAACTATGATTTAGGAATCGTCTTACTATTTTAAAAGAAAATCATTACACATATAATGAACTGTGATTAGATGTTCATTATTTTAATTTTGACTTATATTTCTACATTGTTCTGGTGAGTAAATGAATTTTAAAAAGGCTGTCACACTTTTGTGAATTTGTCAAAAAAAAAAGAAACTATACAACAATGGGCCACAATCCTTCAGTTTAAATTTAATTGAAATAAAATAAAACTACATTCAGTATACTTTTCTAATAGTATTTGTCCATGTAAACAGATGCTCTAGTTACAACAGAGAAGTTATGAGATCCCTAATGGGTAAGGAAGGCAGAAACACAATTGCAAATAGGAAGGGAAATAGGCTGTGAAGTAAATTCTCTCTGAAGAGGTGGTTCACACACTATGGAAAAAGTTTGGGACCTCATTTTCTGTCAGCTGAGGCCAGTGACAGAACTCTCATAGAATGAAATGGGAGCAGGATTAGGAGTTGTCTTATTAAGTTGCAACATCCTATGGAATTCATTCCAATATTACCTAAAGCACTTTGCCCTATGACTTATTTTTATCATTCTGGGTGTATACACTTAGGTGCATCAGTGTAAAATGGTCATTTGATGATTGTAAACTAACTTTTCTTTGAAACGAATAAACACCTTCCACTTCCCTCCCTTTTTTAGTGACTATCACATGAGTTCCACAAGGATAATGGATGCTAAATTGCGAGAGGCTGAAGGATGTGGTGAGGACAATTCAGGTACAGTGCCTACTTTCCATCTGTATATGAAAAGTATTCATTTACTGTTAAGAATTCTTGAGTTTCAGTATCTTTTGGTCTTCTCACAGTAATGATTCTATTTATTTAGGGAATGCGCTTATGCTCTCTCTCTCTCTGAGTTACAATTTTGGGACATTTTCAGATGCTTAAATTAAAACACTTTCTTAGGGTGAAATTCAGATGTGGTGTAAATGGCATAATTCTTTTCACTTCAGTGGACTTGCAGCATGTCTGAGTTTTGGCCCTTTGTCTCTGGTGACTGTTATAATCTCTGCTGTTCGAAACGTGTGCCCATCCTGGATTAGTTTGCATGATGTCCCTGCAAGACACCTCTGCGAGTGTGTTGGGTTTTTGCTGTTGGATTGCTTTGGGTAAAACACTAATTTTTATCACGAGAAGATTGCAGTTATCTCTATTTAAGCTCCCTCCCCTCTGAGCAGCACAGCATCACTTTTCCAGATTATTGCGTGATTCCTATTTTAATATTCTGAGAACCAATGAGTTACATAATTACCATCTAAAATATTCTGGATTTGTTATAAAACTGATATTATTAAAAGCATTAGCCTTCTGACACTGTATTTTCCACCTAAATGTGACATTTTTGCATTTAAATTAGTTTTGCCATTTGGAAACAAGCCTTTCCAGAACTTAACTGTTTAGTTTGCTAAATAACAACACTGAGTTTCCAAACTGTAATTTAAATCTCTGCATCCCAATCAGTTAACACAGTGGTTTTTCTTCATAGTGTAATTATATTAAATCTTATCTGAAGAGGCAGGTGGAACCAGTATTAGAAAAGATCCTATTTCCTGTATTATAGGTTATTTCTAACATGCCATAGGCATCACAATGCATTCCTCCAGCTAATAATAATAATAATACCTTGCAATCAATTTAGACTTGAGAGACCTATTAATACAAAAAACAAAAAACAAAAAAATCCAACCCCACAGTGGGCCAGGTTGCTTCTCCCAAGAAAAACTTCTTATGAAGAAATCTAAGAAAAAAGTCATAATTCTCTATTAAATTCTATTGGAATTTTAAAACTATCATATAGACTTTCCTTAATATTTCTTTATTTAGGAAAGAAAAAGTCAAAGTTCAAATCTTTCAAAAAGTTCTTTGGGAAAAAGAAAAGGAAAGAGACCTTACCATCTTCCGGAAGCATCACTCTGAAACCATGTCAGTCAGCTAGTGATGTCACAGCCCCAGAGTCCAGGCACATTGACTATGATTCTGAAGATGAACTTGAGTAAGTCTTACTTTTATTCGCAAATAAACAAGTAATTGCTTTTCCAAAAGACAGAATGATGTTTATGGATTAAATATCCAAGTGCTTACCTCCAACTGTTACTCAAAAAGCTACATTCTGAGGCACCTCACTTTCTTTAGGAAAATACTGATGGTAATGGGGAAATTGCAAGTAAATGTGATTTACGTGCAACAGTTACTAGTATCTTATCTGAGGAGAAATAAACTTGATGATAAAGTTTTCAAAAGTGCCTAAGTGACTTAGGCTCCTAAGTCCTATTTTCAAAACTGACTCTCGGGAATTTAGGTACCTCAATCTCATTGAAAGTCAATGGAATTTCAGCTCCTATGGAACAGATTTGCAAAGGTATTTGTGCTCTTCAAGATAGAGATAGGCACCTAGTGGAATTTTCAAAAGTGTCTAAACAGGTTAGGCATCTAAATGCCATTGAAACTAATGAGAGCTAGATGCCTAATATGCCTAGGCACTTCTGAAAATCTCACTAGGGCTTCTTTCTGAATCTTTAGGAATGTAAATGTTGTTGAAAATCTGACCCAAAGTCTGTTTTGAAAATGGGAACTAAGCTCCTAAATCACGTAGGTGCTTTTGAAAAGTTTTCCCTAATTTTTAATCTGTAACATGTAAACTATATGAGGCATATGGTGTAAAATTAAAACATTTGATTGAATATACAGACAGAGGGAAAGGCCCATTATTCATTGCAATGCACTGCCTTGAGTAGGGTTGGCTGCTTAGAAAGAAAGTTTTTGTTTTAATGAACAGTATTTCCTCATGAACAAGATTCTGGTTATTCCAGAGATTACATAGCAGAGGAAAAGAGATGCTATTTTTGCAAGTGTGGATAGGTCCTGGAGATCGAACCTTCCAAAATGTACTGTCCATTAGAGTGACATTAGACAGTATTGCCACTAGGCAGCGCCACACAACCAAATAATCTTTTAATAAAAAAATTTGCATTTTGTAGTATTGGCAATAGTAACATTACTCCTGCTTGGGCTTTAATGTGAAGGCGTGGGTGTTACCCCAGAGTGTCTAAACTGGCAGCAATAGATACAGCAGAGTTGTTGCATTCTTGCTCAACAAAAATCCTTAAGAACAGTAATGGCCAGACCTTCCCTACGTGCTCTGTAACTCAGTCTTATCATGTGGCAATGTGTGTATAGCCCTCTGACCTTGCTCACATGCTCTATTTTTGTTAAATTGTTGTTTTTTATTCTTTTTTGTGTAAAAACAAAGGCAATAAAATACTCTGAAAGAAAGGAAAATGAATTCTCTCTCTCACAATTTGTTGGGACATTTGTAAACCTCCAACGTCCATCTAGAAGGTTTACATGTCCAGAAAGAAGATGGAGCAATTAGAAAACAAGGATACATGTGCTCATACAACATTGCTTCTCCAGTTGTTGTTTCAGTCTTGAAAAATGTAGGTGCATAAAGGAGCTGTAATGCCCCTGACTGGCACTTACTTAGCAAATTAGTATAGATCTCTCTCTGACCTTGTCCGCATTACAGAGATCACATTTTCACTTAGATAAACTGTTCTTGTAATGTCTCTAATGTATTGGGCACAAGCAGCAGGCTTTCCTTCCTTTTGCAGCTGGAATACAGATTATCTCTTTCTCCCTATTGTTTTATCAAATATATTTATAGCTACTACTGCAAGGAAAATTTCACTCTTCATTCATGTTTGTGTTCCCTTATGTCCCTCTGGCTGTATCTCAGTTTCAGGGCTACACAATTTTGTTCTGATTTTTTTATTTACTGGTGGTAGTATTTTTTTTTATAATCTCTTCAAGATTCCAATGCCATAAAGAAACTAATAGCTGTGAGAGTCCCAAAGTGTCACATTAAGATTTGCTATATTCTTTGGTTTGCTTTATTTAAAAAGAAAGAGGGGGGGAAGAAGCAAATCTATATGCACACATTTCAGATCTCTAGGCGCTGTGGTAGTACAAATAAATAATAACACCATCAGTTAAACAGAGGCAGATACACAATTGCCAGTATTTTGGATGTCATTAGCAAGGTTACCAGCCAGCCAGTGCTACTATCCTGCCATGCAATGAAAATTACCAGGACAGAGTCTTACCTGAATGACCCATGGAACTGCCCAACAGTTCTCTGGAAGAAACAAGGCATTTGATTCACCCTGTGCAACATTTGTAGAAGCAGTTACTTGCTAGTCCCCTCAGAAATAAGAAGTAAAATGAAGGAGTCTCACATCTCCACGACAAGCCCACAAGCAGTGTCCACAAAAACTGTAGTCCACAAGCTCCACTGAGACTAGCAGCATTGCATTCATAGGTTCCAATATTGCTACCAGTTCTGCATGGATGAGTCTATCCGCATGGAGTCCAATTGAAGTCATAGAATCATAGAATATCAGGGTTGGAAGGGACCTCAGGAGGTCATCTAGTCCAACCCCCTGCTCAAAGCATGACCAATCCCCAATTAAATCATCCCAGCCAGGGCTTTGTCAAGCCTGACCTTAAAAACTTCTAAGGAAGGAGATTCTACCACCTCCCTAGGTAACGCATTCCAGTGTTTCACCACCCTTCTAGTGAAAAAGTTTTTCCTAATATCCAACCTAAACCTCCCCCACTGCAACTTGAGACCATTACTCCTTGTCCTGTCCTCTTCTACCACTGAGAATAGTCTAGAACCATCCTCTCTGGAACCACTTCTCAGGTAGTTAAAAGCAGCTATCAAATCCCCCCTCATTCTTCTCTTCTGCAGATTAAACAATCCCAGTTCCCTCAGCCTCTCCTTATAAGTCATGTGTTCCAGACCCCTAATCATTTTTGTTGCCCTTCGCTGGACTCTCTCCAATTTATCCACATCCTTCTTGTAGTGTGGGGCCCAAAACTGGACGCAGTACTCCAGATGAGGCCTCACCAATGTCGAATAGAGGGGAACGATCACGTCCCTCGATCTGCTCGCTATGCCCCTACTTATACATCCCAAAATGCCATTGGTCTTCTTGGCAACAAGGGCACACTGCTGACTCATATCCAGCTTCTCGTCCACTGTCACCCCTCGGTCCTTTTCCGCAGAACTGCTGCCTAGCCATTCGGTCCCTAGTCTGTAGCGGTGCATTGGGTTCTTCCGTCCTAAGTGCAGGACCCTGCACTTATCTTTATTGAACCTCATCAGATTTCTTTTGGCCCAATCCTCCAATTTGTCTAGGTCCCTCTGTATCCTATCCCTGCCCTCCAGCATATCTACCACTCCTCCCAGTTTAGTATCATCTGCAAATTTGCTGAGAGTGCAATCCACACCATCCTCCAGATCATTTATGAAGATATTGAACAAAACCGGCCCCAGGACCGACCCGTGGGGCACTCCACTTGACACCGGCTGCCAACTAGACATGGAGCCATTGATCACTACCCGTTGAGCCCGACAATCTAGCCAACTTTCTACCCACCTTATAGTGCATTCATCCAGCCCATACTTCTATGTCACTTCAGTCAGTGGGACTCTATATGATTAGAAGTGTCCACTCTTACCGATCCACTTGCAGGATCCGGGCCATAATATCCATGGCTCAGATTGTCCTCTCCCCGCCTCCCACCCAATCAAAATTGCCCCACCATCTCCAAACAGAATTACCAGCCTTAACCTAGCAGATCCTAGGGAGATCCATGGGAGTCTAGAAACAGGTCCCATATAGCCAATGTAGCAGCCCTTCGCCCCAACTCCACTGGAGTTGTCACCAGGATTCCTCTCTTTTCTCTCCTGCCCCCATGCCATGGCTTTCCCCTGAAGGAAACAGATCAGTGAAAATGTTAGTACAGGCTGGTGGATGGGCAATCTGTACATGGAGAACCTTATCGGGACTCAAGAGTGTAAAAGGGAATAAGTAGTGCACACAGATGTGTGTGTAAATTTTGTATGGAGAAACATAATTTTAATAGAGAAGAAAGTAGGAGGGTTCCATAGAGGCTATTCTAAAAACACTTAAAATTTAATAGAAGACAATATCCTTTCCATAGTTTTTTTTCCTTTCGTTCTGAATCCTATATAATTTATAATTCTTTATTAAATGTTGTAGGATTCTTAAAGGAAAACCCACTTTAGAAATTATAATTATTGATTAAATTCTGTAGGGTTTTACTTCCAGGATTTTAGTAGTCTGTTTTATCAACATTACAGATGTCATTGCTTTCAAGTTGTTTTCTTTTTAAGGTACTACACTGGTTTATTTGACTGTTGTAACCATTGTTTTCAATCAGCAATTTAGAATTTTAGGCATAACAAATGATAAGCAACATTTATCTGATATCTCCATTTACAAGATCCTCTTTAGTTAATCTAAGAATTAAGTATCCGGTAAAAGGATTAAAAAAACAAGCGTATACATGTTCACTAGCTTATTATATTATCCTAGGTCCCACACAGGTATTATGGGAAGCAGAGCTTTATCACATGACAGCATTTTCATTCCTGAGCCTGCGCAAGAGCCTGCTAGGCCCGTACGAGTGTTTTCTCAGGAAAATGTTTCCGATCGGATTAGAGCTTTGCAGGTAACATAAGACATTCTTTTAAAATATTAGAAATTGAGTTTCTTTCAAACTTGACTTTTTAGAATTGTCTGTAACTGAACATTTGGTTTCTACTAAATAACAATAATTACATTAGGGCGGTGGTTCTCAAACTGTGGGTCGGGACCCCAAAGTGGGTCTCAACCCCCTTTGAATGGGGTCGCCAGGGCTGGCTGAGACTTGCTGGGACCCAGGCTGAAGTCCGAGCCCCACTGCCCAGGGCCGAAGCCAAAGCCCAAGGGCTTCAGCCCTGGGCAGCAGGGCTCAGGTTATAGGCCCCCTGACTAGGGGCTGAAGCCCTTGAGCTTAAACTTTGGCCCCCCGGCCCGGAGCAGTGGGGCTCAGACTTTGTCCTCCACCTCCCAGGACAGTGGGCGGGCTCAGGCTTCGGTCCCCTCTCCTGGGGTCATGAAGTAATTTTTGTTGTCGTAAGGGGGGTCGCGGTGCAATGAAGTTTGAGAAACCCAGCATAATTAGTGCATAATTTGTTAATCCGACAACATTACTATATCTTGATTCAATCTAAATTATAGTGGTAAGGTATATGAGCTGTCTGGTACCCAGGGAGAACCGGAAATGGAGGTGCTCTATGCTCTGGTTCATTAAATTGTATCTTGTTGTGTAGAGTTAAAATCAAAATAAATCATTGGAGTGGACAGAGTCAGATAATGTGGGAAAAAAACATTCAAAATGTACTTCCATGTCATATTGCAGTTGAAACTCCAACACAGCATGAAACTGGGACCTCCTCCTCCATTTGGAATTCGTGCAAAGCGGATGGATGATGCTGGGACTAGTTCTGAAGATGATGGGTTACCCAGGAGTCCTCCAGAAATATCTTTGCTACATGAAATTTTAAGTTCCAGCACAGCAACAAGGGTGAGTAGATTGTGATATTGACAATCTCAACATTTACTGGACTAGACTTTCCTATTTGAGCATCCTTTTTTTGTGTGAAAGGGCAGGATAAAGGACTCAGTTTGCTGTCCTTCATCAAGTTTGCTCTCTCTTCATCAGAACTGGTTGGACTTCTTCAAACATCTATGCATAAAACCATATGGGTGATAGGTTGTCAGCTGCAGTAGCTCCTGGAGGAATGTTTGTGTCCCTCTTCTATTTTGATTGTGGTTATATGCCAGTTATGTGTATTGGGTTATTATAGCCAGCCACTGTAGCAGTCCAGAGAGAGTGAGTTTTCAGGAATTACAAAACAGCCAGGAATAAAAAATGTCTGAAAAATCTGGAGTCTCTTCGGAATCAGTCAATAAAAGCAGAGCACTCTCACTCTTAACATTGTGTCCTCCAGCATGGGAAGAAAAAACTTTCAAGAATTTGTAATTATTTTTAAAATGTAATTTTGCTATGCAGTATTTAATGAAGCCTTCATTCTTTTCCTGAGTCTCTTATGTTTTATATTTGCAAGGTCCTCACTAATTCTTGAACTTGGTAGCAGTACTGGACTGTAGCTTAGATTGTGTGTGTGTGTGTGTGTGTGTAGATGTTTTCTGTTAGTAATCATCTCATTTGTCATCTTTTACTGAATCTCTTCCTCATTCCATTCCACAGTTCTCTGACTCTCACAAGCACCCTAGCTCTTTGAGTTTAGCTGGAACAGGCAGTGAAGAAGAAGAACAGGTAACTTCCACCAAATATATTAAGAAGCAAGCAACATATATGTTAGTCTTTTAAGGAAATGTAAGGAATAAATATGTTACTTTGTTGCCTGTTTGCTGGAAGAACAACCTTTTGTATATACCTGTTTGCTTTTTTTGATTCTTGTCCTACTAACATTAAAAGTTGCAATTCTTTATCAATAGAATTCTCTAATGCCAAAGAATTATTGATGTGATGATAAAAAGTCAAAAAGAGAACAAACAAGTACATTTGAACACCTAAAATGCAGGAATTCTGCAGAGGATTTAACAAAATTTCTGACTGCCCGAATCTATGGAGTTAGTTCATGGTCAGGATTTATTGGTGACTCCTGGGCATGAATTTTAGACAGTGGCTTTCCCCCTTTTATGCTTAAAGATCTTGTATGTTGTGAAGGCTATTTGTTTTAAAAAATTCTTCATACTGTAATACTGAGGGATAATAATAGTAGTGGTAATAATGATGATAATAATAATAATTAAAGACCCCTTCTGGTATATCACCCATCTCAAAATCTCGAAGCACTTTACAAACATGAATGAATTTAGCCTCCAAACACATAGATAAACTTAGCCTGTGAGAGTGATATCATTATCTGCATTTTACAGATGAGGAAACTGAGGCAAAGAGAGCTAAATGAGGTGCCCAAACAGAGGTAGTCTGTTGCACAGCCATGAATAAAACTCAGATCCTCTGAGTCCCAGTCCCCTGCTTTGACTACAAAACCACCCCATCCTCTTACATTGGTGCAGTAACACTTGGTCTGGTAATAGTGATTAGCATTGCTACTTAGGAGACCTGGGTTCAGACTTTAGTCAGTATCTGTCCACCTGACACAGCATGAGCTGGGGATTCTTCTGTGGTGATGTCTGCAGTCCTTGAGGAAAAGTGAATAGATGCCTTTCTTCAATCAGCACTAAATCATTCTGGTTGATTGAAAAGTGGTTTTGACAGGTTCTGAAGAGTCTCAGTTAATCCTCCTCAGCTGCATTATGGTGGATGCAATGCCGGGGGGGGGGTTAAAGCGAGGAGCAATTTTGAGATGGGGGGGAGGGAATTGCAAAGGAAAAATAAAAAAGCTGGCCAGTTCTAAATTGACTGTTATGTGATAATCATGCAAAATATACTTTTAAATCCCATTTAGATGACACAGATTGCTGCCATCTTTTCCTCTTCACTATATATTTCACATAAAACTATTTGAAATGCTGCTTGTTACTCAGCAAAGTGAAATTTTAACCCATTTCAGAAAAAAAGGAAATAACCCTTTTCTTTTTCTTTTTCTGAAAACAGGCGTAAATACGTTGTAAATGTGTTTTGGTCGATTCATGATACACCCAGAAAGTGGCACAGCACAAATGCATTCCTGCCAGTGCAGGCTTTAGCAACAGCTTCTAAGAGATTGGGCTTCTTTAGGAGAGGGGAGGAGACACATCACCCCAGTGACAGTGCAAGACCTCCCTCCTGGGCTGTGGGAGGGCACAAGCTGGGCAGCACGACCTGCTACACCTTGAAAAAGATGTAGCTAGAGTCATCGTCCTCCCCATCCACAACAGCACAGCTTTGTTGGTTTGAAGAGGGAAGACGGTGCTGTGGCCTCACCTCCACTGGATACTCCCCCTCTGGTGCCGGCTCCCCTGCAATGGCCTCGCGCCCTGTTCTCACCAGTGCAGCCAGCTGAATGATGGTTGTCCCCTACCACTCTGCGCTGCTTGGGAAGGGCTTTCTCAACCTTCTCCCCCCCTTATACACACACACAAGGCCAGCCATACCCTGACGTACAATCTCTGCAGCAAATATACATCTGAAACTCACTTCGAATGCTGTATTTTAAGTGAAGCGACAGAAACTGTGTACTTTATTTTTCTAATCTAATGATCAGTGTTAGTATTACCTAAGGTCCGATCTCCAAGTGATCAAGGAGAAAGGGGTGGGGAAGGTGGGCTTCGCGCATTCATGTCAGTCGTTCAGGCGAGCAAGTGCTGAGCCTTTATCAAGGAGCTGAAATGTCAATGTATTCACTGTAAGGTACTAATGTGTAATGTACCCATGTATCATTGTTACACATTAGCAAATTGCAGATATCATAGAGAAAACTTCAGTCCAAATTAGTTAAAACATCCCTTAGCTGGCATAATTGAGTTATCCGCGCACCCCCCCCTTTCTTTTTTAAATATAGAATGATTGGAGATCCAGCTGTCACTTAAGTTTGTGGGAGTTTTTCCATTGATTTGAATAGGAGCAGGAACAGATCTTTTATATACAAAAGAATACCTGTTTGGCTGCAGTGCATAAAGCAGTTTTTTGGCACATTGGATACAAATGGTCATTTTTCTCCATAAGCAAAATAAATATTTCACGGCTCTTATTTGAGAGAAACTGTATATAACTGTCAGCAGCCTACCATACTTGGGTAGCAGCGCAAAGCACAATGAAGAGGAAAACTGCAATAAGGGAATATACTTCAGTTTCAAGCTGCCACAGGACTGCTATAAACAGTGATAGGAGATCATTTTAAAGTTATGGCTGATACCTTGGCAATATCCTCTTTTTTTTTTTCTTATTTTGAAGAATTTAATTATTGAAAAAGAAAAATCACTTTTAAAAATTAATTTTGTAAGATGATCCTAATTTCATACCTGAATGGGAATTGAGAATTATGCAAAAACCTTGGGATTTATATATTAAATTTATGGAAGGCTGAAAAGTTGAACTCCTCTAGCAGGAAAGTACCAGATCCTAAAGATACCAAGAGCATTATTTCTGGATAGATTGTTGTACTGGCTGGAAGTTCCAGGCTGCGAGCAGGCCATGATACTTTATTTTGGGCTGGGGTGGGGGGAGGGGGATGAAATATTCCATTTGGGGTAAAAACGTCACAGATTTTCCTAATGGAAATAAACTGAAAAAATGCACAGTACGTTAAATATTGGGGACACTAATCTTTGACGTTGTTTTCTTAAAGAGAGGGTTGTAGGATTGGAACGGGACGTGGCCCTGTATGACTGGAATGCAGAAAGGTTCTAGCCCCGTAGGTTGTGGGTAGGAGTCAGAAAGGGAGCTGACCCAGGAGGATTGGCCTTTGAAGTTTTTCCTAATTTCCTTTCTCAGATGTGTTGACTCTTTTTTCGTTTGTTTTAGGTCTGCTATTTAATGGTGAAGCATTCCTTTCCAATAGACTGGATATTGCAATCTTCTAGCTGTTAAAATGCAAAACTGCTATCACAGTATTTCATGTGCAAAAGCTAGTAATTGCAGTGCAACTGAAATAAAAGTAAAAAACAAAAAAAAACCCAAAAAACCCTAAACACGTTTTTTCTCTGTAAAATTCCTATTTTCATTGCTTGATTTCATTGTTTGATGTTTTCTTTGGGATTTTTTTTTTTTTTTAGGTCACATCAGGTCCTTCTTCTAGGCCCCACTCTACAGAAGGCCAACTATTCCCTAGGCATGCAAGTGCTAAAACTATATCTCCCCAAACATCTGACAGCAGCATCTCGCCAGCAGCTGATTTTGACACTCCGCCTGAATTCTCCACTTGCTTGGATAATTCTGCTGCTAAACACAAGCTTTTAATAAAACCACGGAACCAGAGATCTAGTAAAATGAGAAGACTTCCTTCGGTAATTGTAAAAATAAACAGAGAACTCAGCACTGACTTTAAACCACACATTCTTACTTGACTTGCCATTCTTATTTCAGCCTCTATAAGCATTTATTAAGTAGTGCCAGAGCTGTGAGTGGATATTTCATTGCTTTCTAATCACTAATGTTTAATAAGCGTTGTGTATGCATCTGGAATACAGCCCCTAAGGACAACGTATAAACTGCACACTGCGAGAGGGGATTACTTGTTAATTCTCTTGATATAAGGATTTATGGCTACATTTCATTTCTTCTTAAAGTTACCGTGAGGTGTTATTTCAGCATTTTACTGTGATGATAAAGTTGAGGCTCTAGTAGCATTTGTTACTCAGTTTTTAAAAACCAGAGCATAACTTGATTGTACCATATTTTTGTGGATGGAAATTTGGTCTGTCAAATCTGACCCTTTAGAAAGAATTTTGTTGTTGGGCTTTAAAAAAATCCCCAAGGCAACTGGGACATTTTTAACTTTAGAAAGGCACGTAAATAAGAGATCACATGGCCTATGAGTGGGAGCCAAGTTCTGGTTCCTGGGAACATCGTGCGTTCTAATCCCCCTTATGTGGGACTATCCAATCACTTTACCCTTATGTGGCTTCACCAGCAAAGGTGGAAAATTTGAGCAAAAAATATGCCCTCGCAAAAAAACATTTTTTGTACCTCAGTGAAGTTTTTCTGAGTAAAAAAGACAGCCATTGTAGAACACATTTTTCTGACTCTGTCTCAAATCTTGATTTTTTTTAATTAAAATTGTACAGGCTCTTAATACATTATTTGCATTAGTATGTCTGGATATTTTGAACCTTGCTTAAAGACATAAATATCATTTTCCCCCAATTATGATGTCAAGAGGATTTGTTGTTTTTTCAAAACCAGTAAGCAACTTTTGTGCTTGGGAAAGCAATCTTGAGCTATGCATAGTGACAATGCAGGCTGTGTCAGAGAAGCATGAAAAGCAGCCGTGGAAAAGGCTATCTAAGCCATTCCTTTCTGCCAGTGCAGGAGTGTTGCCAAAGTATAGTCACTATTGCTTTGTCCAGTCCTGTCTTAAATAACCAGAGAGAGAGCCTCCATGATTTCCCTTGGAAAGCTTTTGCACTATCTAATAGATCTTACCACTAGTAATTTTTTCCTCATACAATTTTCCTGAGCACTTCTGTCCTAATCTACATCCTGTTTTTATATTCCTGGACCTTTATTTGGAATAGTCTACATTTTATACTGAACTAGCATGGTAACTTTGTTGTTTGCAAAACTGGGAGTAGGATGAGACATAAGTCACTTTAGAATGCAAGCTTTGTAGTCCTCAGATTAGTACCTACATCTAAAATATGGATTTACACAATAGACTACAGTGGTTCAGTAAGCTAACAAAGGCACTGTGTGAAAATGCATATTCCACAGCTTAATAAAATGCTTTGAAATAATCCTGTATAGTCAGCCAGTTCTAAGTTCATATTTCCAAAAGCTTACCTGATGTGTTATCAAAAGACCTCCCAAATAAATAGATGCTTTATAAGCTTTCGTGAAATATTTTTAACTCTTGAAAGAAAACAAAAGCTACAAAAGATTGGAAGGGTGTGTCACAATTTGACTAAAGGTAAGAAGACCATCTGCTGTACATTATCGTATTGAGTACTTTTATTCTGCTATTCCCTTTGCATGGACTTGCTGCTCCAAGGTCAGGCCTTACAAAGAAGGGTTTGTGTGATGTGTAATGGCATGATGGAGCTGCTCTTTGCCACTGGAGCACCACAATGTAGCCAAATTGCACTGGTGAATCCAGCCCCAAAAACTTGTCCCCAGAGTCCTACAGCTTCAACTTTGCTGGATATTGGCTACAGATATAAAGGCATCAAAGAGGTTAATTATGTAGGGGCAGGAAATGACGTCTTCCTTTGATTTCTTGATAGTTTGGTTAGAAAATTATTACACATATACGTAATACAGCTTGCCGAGCATAATACGATGAAATCAGCATATAGTACTTAAATATAAACTAATTAGCTATGTGTGTTCAAGACAGGGACTGTCTTCCTCTATCTTTGGAAAGCAGTTGCCAGAGTGTGGGCTCTGCCACAGTCTAAACAATAAATAAAAGTGTGTGAAGTTATAAAGAAATAATAAAATCTTAATAATTGTTTGCTCTTTGTAGCGGACCCAATCAGAGTCTCTGAATGACTTGAGCTGCACCCCAGAGGAAGAGGAGCACGATGGAAGAGAGATGCTGACAGACTTGACATATGAAGTCTTCACCACCAGCCATCAGAAGTTGACACACAGCACAGCTGTGACGAGTGACGTGGCCTCCTGGCAGAGACCTGAAATGCCTAAAGACTTTCCCCATGGCTCGAGACACAGAGACGAAAGGCCTCTCACATGGCAGTTCGCTTCTGAGTCTGCCATTGTACAGGAAGCCTCGTTACATGAGAATAATCCTGAGGGCTGCCAAACTATGCTGGAATTAACACATTCTAAGTCAGATTATCCTTCTCCTTTAGAGCCTAAAGAAAACGTAATCACCTTGTATCCCCCTCCGGACAGAGAAACACAAAGGGAAAAAGAGCCCTCGGGAACACTGAGTGTGTCCACCAGGAATGTGTGTGATGTGTCAGTTAATACTTTAAATCAAGAAAATAAACAGTTTCTTAATGGGTCTTCAGTGAATAATCTGCTGTCTGAAGAGGATACTTCAACCAGTACTGGCAGTTTTTCTTGTTTGAGAGGGCCAGAAAAAAATGTACAGAAGGATGGTCAGATACCCATGGAAACTTCCTGTAATAAGGAAACAAAGAAGGAGTCTGCTGCATTGCCAGCTTCCAGCAAGCAATTACCTGAAAGGTCTTCTCAGCTCACAGACTCACCCTGTGTTTCCTCTGACATCCCACAGCCTGCTTTGTCATTGCAGCTGGGGTCATCTGCTTCCTGGTCTCTGGAGCAAACTGCGCCCACTCAAGAACTAGCTGCATCTGACAAGGAAAACAATCAGTCCCTGGGACACAGGGAGGCAATTTGGGGGGAAAAAACAGAGAAAGCTGCCCATGAACTCAGCACCTTGAGAAAATTTTCAGTGTCATCAGCACGGGAGAGACCAAGAGCTGGCAGCCTCCACCTGAAAGAAAACTCAGAATGTGAAAGTCCATTAAATGCCAAATTACCCCTGTCAAAAAACAAGCTCTCTTCAAGAAATGATAAGTTGAAAGAGGATGTGCAGGTGGGCGCAGATCTACAGGAGGAAAAAAATAGCATTAAAAAGCAGGTGTCGCTGGCAGATTCTGACTCTGAGGTCACGGGCAAAGCAGCAGACAAAATGGTGGCTGGCTGTGTTTCTCAGGCCATTGATGCAATTCCAGTGGTATCCCAGTGCCAACCAGGCAGTGAAGATAAAAGTCCTTTTCAAGTAAAACTTAGATCCACTTCACTGTCCTTGAAAGATAGAGACAGCTCTTCACCAGAATCGAAGGGGTTTAAAAGATACAGTGCAGAGATTAATTTAGAAAAAGAGGGATTGGCATCACTTCTAAAAGGTGAAAAGGCACAGATCAAAAAAACTGCTGATGTAAATATCAATGGCTCTGTGAATGACAACATAAAATCTAAAACAAAGTCCTCTGAACAGCTTATCACAAAACCTCCATTGCCTAGGAAGCCTGTTTTGCAAAATGTAACTAATGCAAACAGTAACGTGAACGTGGAAAAGCAGGAAAAAGCCACTAAATCTCCTGAATCCAGAAGTAAAGACAGAGACTTGGAGAAAAAATCATGTCCTTCAAAAGTGCCTGGTAAGACTTCTGATACTTTATATAGTTGTCTATGCTCATTTGAATTCAGAGAGGGTTATTTTATGATCTTGAAAGGTATACTTCTCTTTGAAACAATGAAGATGACTTCTAGCAGTAACACATTCCTTACATTTGTTCCTTTGTACAGTTTACTAATCTGTTTGCCAAAGCAGAAGCATTGTATACATGCAGATGCAGTTTAATAGAAATGAAATGTTGCAACAAAAAATGAGAAATGAAACCTCTACTACTTCTCAAAGGGAAACAGAATGATATCAGCAAAGTAATGTTTCAAAATCATTTGAGTTGATCATATCTCTTTGACTTAATGGAAGCCATGCGAGATAGTCTGCAAGTTCAGTCTGCAGCAGCATCCCAGCTGTGCTCATGAAGTGATTACCCAGTGAAGTGGTATTTCTTTTCTAGTTCCAAACACTCGCTTTCCTGGTGGTCACTGATAATGACTTAGGCCCAGGTCCTCAACTGTATTTTAGGTGCCGAACTTCAGTGAAATACCTTTGAGGATCTGACTGTTAGGCCCTGATCCTGCAACAAGCCCAGGAGTCCACCCACACAGAGGCAACTGCAGGAATGGACTCTTAATAAGAAATAGTGAAGCTTTTTGTTATGGCCAGGGTACTGGAAGAGTAGAGTTGCCAATCCACCAGGATTGGTCTGGAGTCTCCAGGAATTAAATATCTTTAATTAAAGATTATGTCATGATTAAATCTCCAGGAATATGTCCTACCAAAACTGGCAACTCTATGGAAGAGCCAAGCTCTGATCCACAAACCTATTTAAAAGAAAGTCCAAGGGGGTTAGGGTACTGTGCAATATGTTAGAATTTTTCAAAATCATCCCTTCTACCAGAGCAAGATGAAAATATGACCCTGAATACCCTGCTGGCCACAGTCTGGTTTCTCATTGAGATTTCTCTGGTAAGGTAACAGGAAGTCTAATGGAATTGTTGCACATTTTGAATCTGTGTATTTTAAAGTTTAGCAATATTTTTGATATTGACTCTAAAAAAGTAACTAGAGATTTTCACAACCAGATTTGTTGAAGTACAGAGATAGGTCCAAGTCTATATCTGAATGTGAACTTCCCCAGTTCAGTGCTATTTGGATTTTGTGGTGGTGTTTGGCCCAGTACAGAAAGACCTAAGACCCAACTCACCTATTGGCCAAAGTTCAGGTGTATGTGGCCAAATCAGATGTAGTACTGTGGTCCAAATCTACCTAAGAGCTGATTTCTCCTAGGTTTAGAATGAATAAGGATTCTGTATTAAAACAAAACAAAAAACCCCTGCACCAACAGACATTTTTAACATTCTTTTGTAAGCATACTTTAGAATATATGAAAAATTGTTGCCTGACGTGACATAGAGCCATTCAATCTGGTTAGATTTAACTCCTCTTTTTATCTGAAACCCAGGGTTTGCTCATGACAATTATGTAACATTTCATTGCCGTTGCAGTAAAATGATAAACAATCTTACTGGAAAACTTGCAGAAAACTTTACTGGTTGCTCTTTAGTTATAGGGACATTGACACTGAAAATCACACCTCTTTCTGAAAATGTTATGCTTACTAGTTTGCAACTAAAAGGACTGTAAATGAAAGAAGTTAAAGGGAAAAATTGTTTTCATTGGTTTCAATCTTCAGCTGTTGTAAATCAGTGTAGTTCTGTTGACTTCCAGGGAGCTGTGCCGATTTATACCAGCTGAGAATCTGGCCCAGCATTTACTTTGTGCCCTTTGTGTACAGCCCAGTTTCATGGTTTTTCTGATGGGCCTTTATACTTCCTATATCACGCGCTATTCTACTGACCACATTCTCAGGCAGCACTGGGGATGTTGGGGGAGCTCAAGTGCACATTCTTCCCCAGTAATTCAGTAACAGAGCTGCTGCTGTTTCTCCATTTGGAACCAGGATGGTGTCTCCTTTTCCCAGGACCCCTGCACTGAGCCAGGAAGCAAGAGCAGCTGGGAGGATGGCCATGGTGGTCCCTATCTTCCCTCTCCAGACTCCTGCACCAAGCTGGGGAGAGATGAAAGCTAAGGGGGGGAGGGTATACCTACCAGATTCCTCACTCCCCAGACCCTGGTAGTGTGCCAGGAAGCAATGGGAACCTGGTGGGGAAGCTGGAGATGGGGAGGCTCCCTGGAGCTGTTCTGCAGTTCCTGAAGTTGGGAATCCTTACCTCATTGCTGCTTAGGAGGCTGGCAAGCAAGCTTGAGTGTGTGGTTAGGAGTGGGGGTGGGGACAGACACATTTAGCAATGCTGCTCTCAGACCTGTCCTCTCTCCCTTGCTGAGAAGGCCTTTATGGATATTAGCATGGAAACAGAAAACCCCTTATCAAATATTTTTACTGGCTTTTTTTTCAAAAAAAGTCATATAGTTGAAAAGCGTCTGTCAGAGCACCCGTTAAAAAATCAGCCAGTACAAAAAAAATTCAAGTTAACCACATTCATTTAACAGGAAAAGAGCTGCTGGAGCTGCTGGATAGTGATTCCAAAAGTAACATTCTGCAGGTGCAAACAAGCCTTTCAGGGTATGGATGACTCAGACCTCTGGAAGACTCATCCTTCTTTTTAACCGGGATATTGAAGGAGGTTTACTAATTGTCTAGCATGCTCAGCACATTATTTATGGTCTCCCATAAACTCCTTTGAAAGGCTTTATCATTGCTTGCTCACTGTAAACAAGACTGGAATAACTGGGCTAGGGTTACAAACGTATTTAGTATATGATATGAAATACTCATACAAGAACCCTGGACCATTTCATAACTGTATGAAACCGACTAAGCATATAAAAGAAGCCATCATGCTATTTTCTATGTATTCACTGAATAGCTGTGGGGGAAGGGAATAAATAGAATTGAAATGGCTTCTGACATTTTAGCATGAGCTAACTAGGGACAATGTTAGTTTAAATATGGAACAGACTGCTCTATATAGACCTGAGGTCCAGAGTGTCTCATTGTGGACCTTTCTCCTTAGAAATCTGATCATGGCACTGTTTGTCCTGGTATTGCTTATCATGTGACACTGGGTTGGCAACATTTGCTTGTGGATACGTCGTCTTCAGTAAGATATGCAGGCTGTGCCCATCCTCACTAAATACCCAGCGGTGGCTGGGTTTGGAAGGGACATTATGCAGCACCCACTGAAGAGGTGTAGCAGCAGGTGTGCTCCCCTAATGCCCTGAGAAGCTTCTGGGGCGGTGCACTACTGCATCAGCCACCAGTGCTGTTCACAGCTTATAAGGCATGGCTGAGCTCTGGCCCCTGTGATAACCAGTGAGAACAAATTAATTGATGGAGTAGTGTGCTGACCAGTACTGCAAACTGATGACATAGTCTTCAGTTATTTTATACTGTAAAAAAGGCCTGCCCTCTATTCTCACCAACCTAGGAGTACATGCAAATTCATCATTCTCCTTAGCCAGTGGCAGAGACAACTCAAAGAGTTGCTATCAAACCCCTCCAGAACATAGCTCTTCAAAGGAATGTGTGGCTAGATGGACACAATCTGTTCCCAAGTATGCAAGGCCATCAGCTCTGCTCTTTCCCACTTGACACTGCATTGCATCCAAACCTCTGCTAGTTCTGGCAACAGGCCACTTCTATCCTTTAAGTTTATTAGACCTTTCAAAAGATGAGACGCTGCTGGGCTGGAAAAGAGTGCTGGTCTAATTATGCTGAATAGGGAAACAAACTGTATCGTTATTATGATGAGGTGCAGTTCACGTTTCGTGTACAGCAGTTTGGAGAGAGTAAGATTGCTATGTTCAGTGTTCGCAACAGCAGCTTGGTCCCTTCCATTCAATTTAATCTCTAGATTTTTCCAGTTACCTGGAGAACTGGTATTAAAGTGTTTGGTAAGGTTGGTGGCATGCTGACTCCACACCCAAACACAACCAGCAGTCAAGGCTACTAGAAAGGCCTGTGGAGATAGTTGGGGATGGCTTGGTGGCTGTGTGCCTTTAAATTGAACAGGAAATGTTTTAAAATAGTGTGATTGCTGTCGTCTTGGCTGGCCCTGGGGACCTCCAGGGCTAAAAGCGTGAGTCTTTACAGCTTGAGCTAAAGAGCCAAGCTCCATGGCTTGGGGCTATAGCAGATTCACATCCTCTGTGGATCAGATACAGAGTGGGACAAGTGACACACACTAACCAGTGGGTCACAGTAGCAAAAACCGTAATTAGCCTTTGTGTGAATGCACATGTGAGGATGGCACAAGCAGACTTCTGCTGCCCATTGTGCTCCCCATCTCAGAAATAGAAACAATGGAAGTCCCTGTGTCTAGGCACTGCACCGTCGGTGCACCCACAGTCACTATGCACCCCAAAAGAGGGGGGCAGAGGAAGAGAAAGGGCTATACTCTTCTCATGCATATTGGCCAACAGAGCAGGGCAGGTGTACAGGGTTGGGATCAGGCTGTATCATCCACAGGCAGAATTCCTCTCTCCCTCCTAGAGATGCTGTTCGGCTCTGCACTCCCAGTGCCTGAATGCCTCTGTCAGGCCCTAACATAACATACATGTTGACTTAAAGATTACCAATACATTTTGAAAATACATAGTTGAAAATCCATCAGCCATCTTCACCCATCTTCACTTACTTTCCAAGACCTGAGTTCAAGGTTCTGCTTTCCTCTGCCAGAGTCAAATCAGAGTTGAGAATCCAAGTTCTCTACTGTGATGACATCAGTTATTGCAAAGGGAACACAGAATCCTGAGTTGATTTTGGCAGCCAGGGCAAAGAGATTTTGAAATATTTGGGTTTAAAATCTACTGGCTTGTCATTTTTAAGTCAGGATGTGTTTTCCATTCGACTCTCATTTAGGATCTCCAACTATTTTTAACATCTTAACACCTTTTCTATCACCCGCCAACCACACTTAGAGAAAAAATAAACTACTTCTTTTATCTCACATGAAATGAATCAAATGTAAATAAACTTTTTGTTTATATCTTCATCTTAAGGGAGGC